GAGGAATCGTCATAGCAAAAATTATTAAAATGATAGTCTTTATCACTATCATAAACATAGAAGGTATTAAGTTATGTTTTCATAATATTACTTTTAAAGGACAATCAAATTTCAAAATTGGAAAATAATTTAATGAGAAATAAAATTTAAACTTTTGAATTTAAGATACATAATATTTTTGATCTAGCTAGCGTTAAATTCTATCTTGAACAATATCACTATTATAAGTCATTTAGCAAATTTAAGACTATTCCCAATATTATATAACAACATTAAATTAAGTTGAAAATAGCGATTTTAAAATATACGATAAGCTTTTAATTTTCAATTTTTACCTTTTTAAATTTGAATTCAAAGATAACTATAATTACATATAATAAGCTTTATCAGATAAAATTCAAATAAACATTCTCTCATTTATATCCATACGTTTTCTGATATAATTCAAATTAAAATTTAATATATCATCTACATACATTGATTAAATCTAATATAGTGTTGTACTAATTAAGATTATTATTACCTTTATATCAATTTTCTATTATATTTTACACAAATTAATACAATAAATAATATTTTGAATCTTTTAAATTTGAATAAACATATATAAAATGTTTCAACATGTTATTTAGTCTTATGATATCAAATATTTCATATGGAAGGTTAGAATTGATAAATTATTAACATAATTTTTTTATTCAAACTACATAAAAAGAATAAATTATATATATAATAAATTAAATTGTGTACTAATGATATTAATTTAATATTGCTCAAATACACAAGTTACTGATTTCTTTTATTATATTATTATTATAATAAATTAAATATATTATTAAGTGCATTATACATTTTATTAATTATTTTTAATTATAAAATTATTACATTTTAAATCATCCGCGCAACGCGCGGGCACATATACTAGTTATAACAAAAATAGCTCTTAACAACATTAAATATTAATTGAATATATACATTAATAAAAGATGTTAAAGCTTTATCAATATTAGTTAATTGTCATAAAATCTAATATTTTATATTTTTATAAGCTTTAGGAACATATGCCAATTGTTTCTAAAATATATATATTTAGTGGTCATTGATTAACTGTGGCTATAGATTATTATTGGTGTAATGTACTTGATGGTATATTAATGTTTCTAAGGCTTTATTTCTTTGGTATTTTTTATTTTAAGATAGACCACCATTTTGAATACTTTAGTATATTGAGTTTGGATACCCAAGACTAAATGCTTATTTACTCCAATATTGGCTTATCGTTCTTCAGTCGGAGTTGCATTGCATTCTCTTTTGATATGACATGCTAAAATTGTACGCTAAAATATCATTTATAGTTCATGTTTTTGATGTATTCATTTATCATGATTTCATTCTTATTATATTTTTTCTCTTTTAAACAGGATTGTACCAAATTGAATAAAAAGAATATCGAATGATGAAAATGTAAATGCTTGATTATTTGAACATTTGTATTGGTTATCATATTCCAAATAATCAAATATGTCATATTCAATAAAGTTTAAATTCCTCCACTTGCAAATTTTAAACTACTAATCTAATTTTTACTATGATTTTAACTTTTTATCATTGTTTAAAATTCAAATTTTAAAACAGTTCTAAAAAATAGAGTGTGTGATTCATTTTTTTTTGGGAAGTTATCATATTTTTAATTCAAATAATAATAATAATAATAATCTTTTTAAATTATTTCTAAAATCTTTTATAGAATTATTTAAATTTTGAATTTAGAAAATAATTAGTTTTAAAAGATAAAGATGTAAAATTTAAATTTTAATAATAATAATAAGTAATATATGTACACTCAATCTATAATTAAAAGGTGTTACAAATATCCTAAAATTAAGCTAAATAGTATATTTTTAAAAAATATTCAATTTTATTAACTATTTTAAGATTTTTACTGTTAATTTAAATTCATACAATTTTTTAATAAATTATCTATTTATTCGAATTCAATTTTTTATTAAAAAATAATAAAATTTATACATGGGTGATTCCTAAACATTAGGAAGAGAAAATCGAAATTAGAATTACTTATTTAAGGAGACAATTTTCAAGAGTAAATCATCTAATTTCAAAAGTAACTACATTTTATTTAGAAATAAAAAGAGCGACAGTAAAAATTCATGCCTAAATTTTTCATTCCCATCTCCTCGCGTTATCATACATAATTTACTTTATATATTACTCATTAATTTTCTCTTATTTGATATCTAAAAAGTCGGTAAATGTTATATGTCATTTCTTCTTCTTATTCTTATTTTCTAAATATTTTTATGGGACGATTTCTACCGAATAATGAATGTTAATTGAAGTTATGATGGTTGGGGAGATCTATAATTGTTCCAACTGAATCTTTAAGATTAAGAAAAAGGTTGATTTGGTTATATATGATAAACTAAAACAAGTTTGACTAAGTATATTTTTCTTCTATTTTTGCTCTTTGGAGTATCTTCATATATCACAATATACATACCCAAAAAAATTGCACTTGACAATCAATAAGTACCATCAATTATTCATTTTTGTGATATATTTTATCCTTAAATTTTTTGCATTAAAATTTGAATACGTTACGAGTTACGACAATATACTTTATTCAAAAATAAAGTATTTTTTATAAAAATTTTAAGTTTTAAAATTATATTTTTATAAAATCAAAATGATGTAATGTATTTGAACAATTAAATATTTTTTTAATAATTTATGCACAACACACGGACACGTATACTAGTTTCAAATAAAGTAAAAGATATTTGAAATTTATGACGACTTTTTAATTTTAATTTTTCATATGACATGATTAAACTCTAAGATTAAAAGATATTTTGATTCACGGTATATATCTTTAATTTAAGACTATAAAATTTAAAAGTCTTCTTTAATTTACTTCCGGCTTCGTGTTACGTCAAAATAAGATAAATAAATTAAAACAAAAAAAAGTATGATTTAATGGTAAGAGTATATATTATATATTTATTGAATGAGTGTAAATAATTTCTTGAGTAAGAAAAAAGGTTTAACATTAGATATTCTATATCTCAATTTATGTGTCATTTTCTTTTTTATAAAATGATTTATAGTCACATGAATAATCAAAAAGGATTTTAACCACAAATTTTAATTTTTTTAAAAAAAATCTTCTCATCAAATTTAACAGTACTTAAATTGAAACATATTTAAAAAGGGCCACCCATATCCATAAAACCACTTATATATTATCTATATATGAGAATCTGAATTTTTGTCTGCACAATTGCCCCACTCTCTCTGTTCCACATTATTGCCTTCTCATTAGAGCCATATCCTAATTATCAGCCAATCAATTGGAATTGAAATTAAAATTAAAAAAAAGAAGAAAAAATGTGTGACTACAAATTTACATATTCATTTTATTCTTTTCGTTTCATTTTATTTGATTCTATACAGCTTATATTGATAGCTGATTCAATCCGAAATGGGTTGGATTAACTATGTGAATTTTCATTATTTTGTTTAAGTACTTCTTCGCAAGCTAATAATATATGATATTTCTTTATATATTTTTATCGACATATAAATCTCTAACATGAAAGTACATAAAGGAAACGTACTAACAAGATTAAAATATATCTTAACTAATTAGTATCATCTACAACAATAACATACCTAATATAATTTCATAGTTGATATCGTCTATCTATATTTAAATAATTCATGATGAATTAATTGTTTCATGTTATTGTTGTCCACATGATGAAATAATTTTAGCAATTTTTTCCCTACTACTCTTAGTTTTAGAAAACTATATAAAGTAGTTAGTATACAAGCCATGAAGCCAATATACAGCGCTGTTTTTGAATTGGTCATTCCAAATTGCTAAAATGTTTTTATAATCTAAATGATCAAATTAGTTGCTATTGGATAACCTTCCCTTTAATTTTTACTAGTGGATAACAACCTTATATCATTAGGAGTTAATTTGTTCTGTTTTCGGACTTCTTATCATATTAGGAGTCTCTGTATCTATTTAATATATACGTGTATGTGACAATGGAAAAAGCAGAAAAAGTGAAATCTTCTCCAATTCTTACATACAATATCTTTTAAATCACTTAGAAAGTCATATTAGGCATAAAATCACTATTACAATCAAGTAAGATTTAAAAAAAAAAATGAAATTATGGCATAACACATAAACTTTACAAACAGAAATAGATGACATCGATTTATTTGTCCACATGACCAAAACTAATAACCCAATCCATCCAAATTAGCCCAAAACAATTAGAAGTCATTTATTCATATCAGTTCTTTTGATGCTTCACGTTTCACGATTAAATAAATTCAAATGACAATAATATCATTTTTGTTTGAAATTTTGATTTCTAATATAAAAGCAACGCAAATACGCTCCAATCAATTCTTGATCTAGGTTCAACTTAACCTTTTCATCCTTTAATAATGATGAATTTTTAAAAATCTATCCCCATTCGAATATATGAAATTATTTATGGATTAGACATAATATCCATACAAATCAATAAAATAGTATCACTTATTTAATTAAATCCATACATAATATCTCATAATTCCATTAAAAAGTCATTTTCAATCATAAAAACTAATTATAATTCAATAAGGCGAAAGGAATTTTTTTTAATTTGAAAATTCATATTAAAAATAATTAAGATCTAATAAATAAAAAATAAAAAATTTAAATTATTTTCAATACGTCACGAATAATTTATCCTTTTCCAATAATGCAATTAACTTTATAGTATATGAATACTTGTACTTGGATAGATAAGAATCTGATACGCTACCCCCGTGATCATTGAGGATACGCGGAGGGCTTAACTATAATTATCGTAAATTCACAAGGGCAAATCCGTCACCGAAGTTTGTATAAATATCCGACGATTTTCTCTACAATCCTTCCACAACCATCATCTCTCAAATTAGGGTTTTATCTCTGGTTTTTCTTCTTCAACAATCGTAATTTCTCTGTAAGTATTCTAATAAAACAATCAAATTTTGTTATATTTGGTTAAAATTGTTGATGAATTTGTTGCTGATTCGTATGTTTCGTTTGTCTAGGGTATCGATAATCTTGGAGGTTGATTTTAATTTGTTCAGAAAAGTCAGATTCAAACAAAATCTGAGAATTTTTATAATTGTGAGTATTCTATTTGTTTTTTTATTGATATCTCAATTGTAAATTTATTTTATGGCTGTAGGGACGTCTTAATTCGATATAAGGCGTTTTTTTTTTGAAATTCCATAATGTTGTTTATGTTTAGGCCTTGTGTGTCCATTGTAGGCCATTATTTGGTATTTTTTGCACTTATAGATTTGATTTTAGGGAGTCGGTATAGTTTTTAGGTTAATTATCATGTAGATAATGTAATTGATTAAATTTTTGAGTGGGATGCACACACATAATTTGGTAGAAGAAAATTATGACTATAATTTGACTAAATATTGAATGACTATCAAATTATTGAATTCTTTATGCTTCTAAATATTGAAATTGAATGACTATAGTCATAATTTGATAGAATAATTTTTTTTTAAAACAAGATTCAGATGTTTAGGAAATACAGAAAGTAAAATAAGATATGAGCTTGTGGATTGTAGAAATACTGAAGAAATTTAGATTGAAAGGACTTTCCTCTTCAAATTAAAAGATTTTGAGCAAGATTTTCTTTTTAATTAGATACTTTGAACTAGCTGTGTTGTGTCTCGCTTTTTGTTTCTTTAGGCCAATGCAGGTAAACTTTAAGTAAAATTCTTTCTACTTGTGTTAACTTGGCATTTTGTGTCTGTCATGAAAATAAACTGAGACGTGTTTGCAATGTTAAAAAGGATGTTTGCTTTATATGTTGAAAAGTTTTGACGGAAGTATTTATAGTTTCTATGAGTAAAATTTGCACTTTGTGAGGAATATTATCCTAATCTTAACATGTACTTCTGGTAGAAGTACATGGTATACAGTGATAGGAATTTTACTTCACCAAACCGTGAGCTTAATTAACTTTTTTCTCACATATAAGTTTGCACTCTTTGACTTTAAGGGAGAAGATATGTGGGGTACCACAGAAGTATGCTGCACTTATGTGTGTGGTTGCTCTCTTTTGTTCCCCCTCACTTGTTGATTGTAGGCCTACACAACTGCTGTAAAACCTTTGTTGGCCAACTTTCTCTCTCAGCAACTCCTTTTAGTTTTAATGGCTACTAAGCTGCAAATTTTCATTTACTTTTCCTGTTTCATGTCTTGGTATTATGAAATAGTGAGCCATTTAATGTGGTATTTGTTTGTCATACTACTCTGTAGTTCGTTGTTCATGGGGATGTATGTATGTGTTATTGTTGACATTAAATATCTTCCCATTTAATACATATTGCTCCAGTAATATTGTTGATGTTATCATCTCTTAGAATTCCATTAAGGATAATTGATCACAAATTCTAGTTAAAATGTTCATTTATAAGTATATTTTTGTTAAAGTTACCAAGTTCAAAAAAAAAAAAAGTATATTTTTGTTAGCCTCTATTTATTATTTATGGCTTTTCCTTTTTCATAGTTGTGAGGCATTTGGTTTTGTTTCTGATAATCTTTAATCTTCTTTTTCGTTTGACCTCTTGGATGACACAAGTCTAGAATCTAATCTATTTGTAGTTTCATTGATCATCTGTCTGTGTATGATATCATAAAGTACAGAGGGAAACCCTACCTACACATATGCCTTTCTGCATTCTTACACTCAGTATGTAATAAGTGGATGCATTTGATTTTAGGTTATCTGAACCTTTATGTGTCATTTTAGAATCCCACTAAAACTTTTGCTGTTGTTTGCAATTTACCATTGTGGCTGTTTAGTTGCCCTTATTCCGTCACCTTTCTCAAAAAAAAAAAACTTTATGTGAAGCTTTAGTTGTTTTATTGGCAGATCCAGGTGAATGATCTAATGGAGTCTAAAGGTGGGAAGAAGTCTAGTAGTAAATCCTCACTCTACGAAGCACCCCTCGGCTACAGTATTGAAGACGTTCGACCAAACGGTGGAATCAAGAAGTTCAGATCTGCTGCTTACTCCAACGTAAGTATCTGGATTTCCTTTGTTTTGGATATGATCATTAGAAAATGAGCATTAAGAATTTTATAATTCTGATTACTAGCACTTTCTTGTTTTTTATATGTGCAGTGCGCTCGCAAGCCTTCCTGACATTCCTTAAGCTTCTATTATAGCACGTGTCTCCTGGCACAAAAAACCCCAAAAAAAGTTTCTTCTGTCAATTAGTTCGTGTTAAACCCTCACTTTTTTTTCCCCTCCTTCAGCTGCTTTCTGCATTTGTTCTCCTTGGTTGTGAACAATTTCCTCTAAAAGATTATTAGTTGCTGTGAACATTTTTTCATCATGGAAGTGGCATTGCCAGTTTCTGCCATTGGTTTTGAAGGTTATGAGAAGAGGCTTGAAATTTCATTTTTTGAGCCTGGCCTTTTTGCTGATCCTGAAGGAAAAGGACTTCGATCACTGTCAAAAGCACAATTGGATGAGTTCCTAGGACCTGCTGAGTGCACCATAGTTGATTCTCTTTCTAATGAGTGTGTTGACTCCTATGTCCTTTCCGAGTCGAGCCTTTTCATTTTTCCTTACAAGATAATCATCAAGACCTGTGGTACCACAAAGTTGCTTCTCTCAATTCCGGTCATCCTGAAATTGGCTGATACCCTTTTGCTCAAAGTACAAGCTGTGAAGTATACCCGTGGGAGCTTCATCTTCCCTGGTGCACAGTCATTTCCTCATCGTCACTTCTCCGAAGAAGTTGCGGTCCTTGATAGCTACTTTGGAAATCTTAGTTCAGGCAGCAAAGCTGTAATTTTGGGCAGTCCTGACAAACTTCAAAAATGGCATGTTTACTCTGCCTCTGCTGGACCTATTCAGACTAAGAACCCTGTCTACACTCTTGAGATGTGCATGACTAATTTGGATAGGAAGAAGGCTTCTGTCTTTTACAAGACTGAATCAAGCTCGGCAGCTCAAATGACTATTAGATCCGGCATAAGGAAGATCCTCCCTGACTCTGCTATATGTGATTTCGAGTTTGATCCTTGTGGTTATTCCATGAATTCTATTGAAGGAGCTGCGCTTTCTACTATTCATGTTACACCAGAAGATGGTTTTAGTTATGCTAGCTTTGAAGCAGTTGGGTATGATTTGAACTGCTCGAGTCTCGGGTCGCTGGTTAGGAGGGTGCTGACATGTTTCCAGCCTGATGAGTTTTCTGTAGCTTTACATGCTGATGATGTTGCTTGTGAGCTACTGGAGCGTATTTGCTCTTTTGATGTTAAGGGCTACTCTCACGCTGAGTGGAGCCCAGAAGAACTTGGCAAGGGTGGTTCTATTGTCTACCAGAAGTTCACTAGGAGTTCCGTCTGTGGATCTCCTAAATCCGTTCTGCAGGACTGCTGGAAAGAAGAAGAGAACGAAGAAAAGGAGGTGTGTTGAGGGCCGTTTAGTTCAATTACCAGTGTTATTCGCAGATGTTTTATTATGTTCAGTTGCGTTGCTCCTTGGTTTTCCAAATAATGGGTTTTATGTCCTTAGAATTAGTAATGAAAACTTTGAACTTAGTTTGCCATTTTGGTGTTCTACCTGAAGAAGCCCTTTTGCTTGTATATTGGATTATTACCGCATTTTGTTGTTCTCAAGACTCGTTTGTTATTTGGTTTTCTTCCTGGATTTGTAATTAGTTGCTCATTTGATGTTATGATAGCGATAATTATGTCTATACCAATAACTCTTACAACTATTCAAGCAAGTCATATATTTTATACTAGGTTCATACAACAACATACCCAGTGAAATTCAACAAATGGAGTATGGGAAAGGTAGAACGTCTACATTGACAAAACACTCTGATATGGCAACTTGGCGTTTACACGAACAACCAGTGAGAGCTAGACTAATCAGGCACCAGTGATTGGGTTACCTGAAGCATCCACCATCTCAATGTTATAAAAAGACAGTAAACTCGACAAGGCAAATACTCCCCCTGCCACCGCTACTGAAAATATCGCCAGCTTGTGACATAATAATGCTATCTTTGGCTGGTTTTCCTTCATGGATTCCGACGCCATCGAACCTGAGAATGCAAACATGAGAGAAAACACAAATGCTTGAAAGAGAAGAGGCTTTCTTGTGAATATCACAGTTGGTACTAAATCTTCATTTATCCTCTCGAATGGAAGCTGAAAAATTGCAATAGCCGTCAAAAGTGCAATTCTGTATAAAGCATCTTGAGTGCAAGTTGTGCCTGTGGGAAGAAATATGTTGTCTTTGTTATTCAAAGATTGCTTTGTGGAGGAATCATCACTTGTTACATTCATCGTATTGAAAGTCTTGTGAAAATTTTTGTTTAAGGAATTGATATGTGTATATTACTATGAATTTCATTGAAGGAAATACCCTTAACATGTTATATATATAATGGAAATGAAGGTGTAAAAGCAAAAAAAGTGTATAACAGGGAAATGCCATAGAAAAGAGTTGGGCGTTTCTTGGTACTTTCGCTGTCACAATCACACGACATTTAAAATCAATGCTTGGAAATTTCCACGAAATGGTTCCTTTGGAAAATTATTTCATCCGTTCACTTTTACTAGTTCATTATATCATTAAAAATAAATATTCATTATACTTATTCAATTTAGAAAATCAAGATATAATTTATCATTTAATTTCTAATTTACCTTTATTATTAGCTATAGTTAGGAATTTAGGATGATATAATAAAATTATCATTTTGTTCAAGGCTCTTTACAAGATGTGTCAATTCAATACCGAATAAGTAAAATAGATGAAGAAAGCACTTCATCTGTCTCAGTTTATATGACATATTTTCCTTTTTAGTAGGCCACAAAAAAAGGACACATTTATATATTTAGTACTCCAGTCGTTCCTATTTATATGTTGCAATTTTAGAGTTTACGTCCCTTAAGAAACTAGATAAGTTTACCATTATATCATTATTTAGTGTTCTCTTGAAGTCAAGTTTCAATAAATGAGTGTAGATTAATTTGTTTTAATTAATTAAACTGACCGATGAACATGAATTAATCATTTAGTTTTCCTATATTTGTCAAATTCATACCTTCAAGGCTAATAACTTTTAAGGGTAAAATATGACGAATAATGTCATTTATGTATTTGTTTTGTGAAATAACAAGTATTGAGAAACATCTATTTTTAGTAAGGACGACATATAAATAGGAACGGAGGGAGAAACAATTTAACTTTAAAATACCTATTTTACCCTTAAAATGATTTATAGCCACATAAATATCTATCACTTATTTTAGACCATAAATTTCAAAATTCTTTCTTTCTTTCTTTTTTAAACTATATATTAAATCAAACTAATACTTACAAAATGGACCGAGGAGGTATATGTTTCTATTGTCAAATATGCTTACGAGTAAATCAAACTATTGAATTTTACGTGGAAAATATATGTTTTGCACATTAATTTGTTGACTATCCTATGTATACAGTTTTTTTTTCCAACAACACGACCCTTCAGTTTTGAGTATTTATGTCTCCATTCATTTCCTCTATGATTAAAACTAAATATTTATTTTATTTGTTTAGTTTTAACAATTAAGAGATTATTTATTATTTTTATATCTATTTTATCTTTGTTATTAAATATTATTCATTTTTTAACATTTCAATAACATAATTATTTTGGGTGACATAATTAAATTTATTAATTTTTAAAATAATATATCAAATTAAATATGAACGAATATTATTTAGCTTATTGGTATTATTCTAAATTAAATAAAAATAATAATACACTAATCTAAATTATTTTTACAGTTATAGTGTCATGACTCAAAATCATAAGTCGTGATGATATTTATGTTCCCAATCGATAGATAAGCCAACCCGATAAGTTAATCAATTCCACTTAAAATATAAAAATGTAAGTAGCAAGCAAATATATTGCATACTAAGTCTTTTAAATAAAATATGAAAAACTGAAAAACCACCCCAAGATTTAGTATCATAAGTAGAAGAACTTCTAAACTAGGATGCAAGTCTAGAACTAACTACTAAGTGATAAATCTAGACATAGTGAGAAGTGGGGGCCACATACTTTGTGATAGGAATGTCATAAACTTTGAAAAAATTCGATGTTGTTTGCATTATTATGGATTAACTAACCAAATCAGCACACTCTCTGTTGATTTTGATTTCATATAATGTGGTGAAATTGTCTACTATTTACTTTCAAGAGATAGTGTGCTTATATGGTGTGTCCATTTTCATAATTTTGAACTGAGGTACTTAGTTCACATCTAACTTCTAGAATTTCATATACAACAAGTTGAGTATTCGTTGGATCTTAACACAATTTTTCATTCATAGACAGATGATTCCGATTTATTAATTCGATGTAGTGATGGTTAGACCTTAGGGCATGGATCTTTTGAGAAATTTGTCAAATAATGTCAAGTTGATTCAAGATAGACTACTCACAACCTATAATAAAAGAAAAGTTATGCGGATTAAAAGGTTTGTGATCTAACGTGCACAATTGGAGAGAGATTTTGTTGAAAGTACGTCCATGAATGATGTCATGAGGTTTGGGAAGAAGGACATACTCAACTCTAGATTCATTGATCTGTTTGAGGTATTTCTACATTTTTAGAGAAATGACTTATGAGTTGGATATGTCATCAAACTTATCAAGTATTCAATCGGTTTTCCATGTTTTGATGTTGAAGGAGTATTGTATTAATGGTTATCATGTGATTCAATGTGACTCGATACAGTTCGACTAAGAATTTGACATTTGAAGAAGGTCCTAGAGTTATTATGAATGGAAGGTTAGAAATCCACTTGAAAGGTTGAGTCGAACATTCAGAGAAGATATTCTCAACTATTCGATACTGCGTGTACCTTTTTTCTCTTTACGTTCGATAACAAACGTCTGTTTTAGTGGTGGATGATGTAATGAACCTCTTAGTCGTTTTATGAATTTTTAGCAATTTTTTTTATATTAATCCTCTTAGTAACTTTTATAAATAATTTATGATTTGTGGGAATCAGTGACATGATTTTCAGATTAAATAAAAAATTATTTTATTATTAATGATAATAGAAATTAAAATAAAATAAAATAATGGGACAAAGCCAATTTAAAAAAAGAAAAGAAAAAAAGGGCTAAGCCCAAATAATAATACATAATAAATTAATGGTAATAGGGGTAAAGGGCAACAATCTGCCCTCGTAGAAACAGAAAACGCCACAACTAGAAAAAAATAATAAAATCACGCAGTGCAAAAAAAAAGAAAAGAAAGGGAGAAAAGAAAAAAAAAAGAGAAAATTGAGATTTTCAGCCCAAAGCGCTAAGATAATGATTCTCGTCCTTTATTAAACTTTTATGTGATCATGAATAGATTTTTATGGTATAAACGTGTAGAATTTGGATTGAATTAAGAAAATATATAGCCCTAAGGTTCTTAGAACAAAATTTTGATTCGGGGGTCAAATAACGATTCGTTTTAGCTGAAATTTTGTGTGCGAGTCTGTTTTATCATGAGTGAACATAATCTGAAAGAAAATTTCAAATTTGAATTTGGTGGCTCAGGATGACTTTTTGACCTGATTTTCGAGTCGGAACGAAATATAGTAATATGAGTGTCATTAGATTCGTATTCTTGTGAGCATTATATTTTTCATTAGATTTGTATTCTTATGAGGATTGTGTTTGTATCAAATATATAATCCTCATAAGAATATGAATCTAATGACACCCATATTACTATATTTGGTTCCGGCACAAAAATCGGATAAAAAAGTCATCCCGAGCCATCAAATTCGAATCTGAAATTTTCTTTCAGATTATGTTGACCCATGATAAAACAATCTCACATGCAAAATTTCAGATAAAACGGATCGTTATTCAACCCCAAATCAAGATTTTGTTCTAAGAACCCTAGAACTATATTTTCTTAATTCAGCCAAATTTATAAACATTTATATCCTAAAAATCAATTCATAATCACATAAAAATTAAATGAAAATAACGAGAATCATTACCTTAACACTTTTGGATTGAAAATCCCAAATTTTCTCCTCATTTTCCCTTTTCTTTTCTTTTCTTGCACTGCGTGGTTTTTTTTTTCTAGTTGCGGCGTTTTCTGCTTCTACTAGGGCAGATTGCTGCCGTTTAGCCCTACTACTATTAAATTATTATTATTATTTGGGCTAAGCCCATTCTTTTCTTCTATTTTTTTTATTTTAAAAAAAAGGCTTTGTCCCATTATTTTATTTTATTTTAATTTCTATTATTATTAACAACAAAATAATCTTTTATTTAATCTGAAAATCATGTCACTCATTCCCACAAATCATAAATTATTTATAAAAGCTACTAAAAAGGTTAATATAAAAAATAGCTAAAATTCATAAAAAGACTAAGAGGATCGTTACATATAGTGTACATACCTTATCATGACCTAATGGTGTAGAAATTTATTATAATGATGATGTATATAATTTAATTTAACCCATTTGTTATTACCTACAATACACTTGATATAAATAATAACATATTACAATTTAACCAAAAATGTAAATAATTGTACATTGTCAACAAATATAACTTAAACTTTACATAAAAGGATTTTACAAGGACAAG